AGCGGCGAGGCTTTCATGATCGATTATCGATAGCTCCTCCATTTGAAGCGATGATAAAGAATCGATTATTAAGGTGTTCGTTGCGAACACCCTGTTCATTGATACTTTTCCATAGGTTTAAATGGCAGATCAATCGATTTATCGCAAAGCACGTCAGGCCACCAGCTCCGCATGAGCCGTTGCCCGGTCTCGGAGGCTGAAAGAGGCATCCGGAAATAGAACCGGATTTCTTTGACTCGGACAACGCAGCGCGGCCCGGAGTCACGACTTCAGCGTTGCCGGATCTCGTGAAAATTACACTCGTTTTGTATTGATATCATCGGGTAATTTCAGGGATCTTCGAGCGAAACGGCAAAATTGTGGAGCGCGTCGCCGTGTTAGCATAATCAAACTCAAGCCGCGGGACACGGTGACACGGTACTTACGTAGTACACCCGCACGTGAGGTCATCTCGTCGAACCTCTGACGTAAAAGCGTACCTCGATTTTTGCATGCGCCCCAGAAACCATGGGTTGATATGTAAAACAGGGCTCACGTGGAAACTGAGATACGCTTTTATGTCGGAGGAGCGACGATCCTTGCATCGGTACCGCGGACAATGCTGCCGTGCTACGGAAAAACGCCGTATGAGTATTCGCATGTTGCCAAATTTCTTCTCAAAAATATTTGATTTTGAGAAAGTTTTGAATATTTTCCCCTAAAATTTTCAGATCTTTTAGATCAAATTACCAACAAAATTCTCTGAAAAATTGAAAGATAAATATTCATAAATTTTCCTGAAAATTCATGATTTTTCGAGGAAAATTTGGCAACGTCTGAAGGTTCATACGGCGTTTTTCCTTACCGCAGAATGGGTCACTAATCATGTGTTACTTATTTTATATTCTGAAAGTACCAGGTGAGTAGATTACGTGGTGATTTATTGCGTACTTTTGGAGTCAAAATCCTGGACAAGGCAGCTTTTAAAAAGTCCAAAGACTCGCAGGAATTTCGAAAGCACCGGAATGGCGGATAAATGATGGCAGTGAATTTCTAAGGCAGTCAAATCGTCATTTCCTCTCATTTTCCAATGATTTTTGTTAAAATACAACTTAATTTACCATGGAATTGTTGCATTCTTACTACAGAGAACATGAATGAGATTCGATTCTTTGATTCCGAATCTATAGTTTCGACTTCTTTTTTTGTTTTCATAAACGAGGAGTAGAAAGACATTTGGACGTCTTTCTACCAAACGGAACTATGACGTGAGCCTTGTTATGCATATACATTCTTAAGGGTCTCAGGGCTCATGCCTTGATGCGCATAGTTCCGTTCGGCAGAAAGACGTCCATTTGATGGAAGTCGTTGCTGATTGGTGCCGGATGACATCATCCGGTCGGGCGTAAAGCTGGGGCGTTTTAAATTTTCGGAAAAATTGTGCTATTTGAACTGCGTGTTTCTCGGTTTCTGAGTCGATTTTTCGCATTTTAAATGTGCGCATCGTGTTCTACAAGTCCTTTACCTTAATAATACTGAACTCGCTTGTCAAAATTCGTTCAAGGTTTAGTGACCCATTCAACCCATTGATCTTACAAACATTGCTTTAATGCAAGAAGGCAAAATGATGTTCTAATCTTCGCGTCAATAGAGGAATTAGTTTATTAGGCTAGCTTGCGGTTTGAACAGCGCATAGTCTTGGAAAAGTGATTCTCGGCTGGATACTTTAGCCCATTACATATTTAATTCACGAGATTTGTTTTTATTTTGCGTAAATTTGGGTTTTTACTGATTTCGTATCACACGCTGTCAAAGATATGGCCAGCAATTTTTCATCGGAGGGAGAGAGGGGTCTATGGTCAAAAATTCCTCACAAGGGGGAAAGTTACTGTTCATTTGAACAATGACATTATTTTAAAAAATAATAAATTTAAATCGTGGGGTGATGGCTCCATCTCTTGCCCTTTCATGTATACACTTGTCCATATCTCTGCATGTGACTTTATAATCCAAGAAAAATTCACAGATTGGTTTAATGTGTTATATTTTTTGTTTTTTATTGAAAATAATAAAACATGAAAGAGAATAGGATTGCAATTTTAGAATTGGTTAACATAGATCTTAATAAATAAATAAAGTGCCTGATAAAAGGGTTAAATTGTAAATTTAATTATAAGTTTGTTCTTCATACACTTTGCAATCAGGAACTACCAATTGTAGATCAGTTTGGAAGCACAGTTAGAACAATCAGTTTTCCTATACACAAAAGTTTTTTTACGAATATGCTATATAGTTCAGTTCCTACATATTTGCAAAATGTATTAGGGGAGTTGAATTCGCTGATTCCGATTGCTGCCGTTCAGTTCATTCAACTGAAAAGAGTAACAGTTAAATGAAGGCTGTTAGGCGTCGATTGAATTTTTTATTCTCATCGTAAAAACGCAATTTTTTTACTCGTGAAGATTACCGTGAAGTTTTTTTTTTCGCATTGTTGATATTCGTATTTATTACCACCATACGTTCACTTTAATTATGCGCAGCACTGGACATGCTGAAAATGATCCAGATCGGAGAGAAGAATTCAGGGTCAAGGCTTGCGCTTGAGAGATTCGTGGATGCAGTGCAGCGAGCAGCTTTTAGACGCTCGTTCACGAGACCGTGCTTCGAGACCTTATAAATCGGACAATGACTTTTAAAAATCACGTGAATTCATTACTCACCATTCCGCATCGTTGCTTGTTCCGCTTCGCCTCGTTTTGAAGTTTGACTTTCGGTCTTTGAAATGCTCCAATCAATTATTGCAGGTATGATCGTAACCCAAGTAGCAGAGGTTGCATCAACTTGCAACAAAATCGTTTGATTCTTGCAACTAATAGATTGATCTGCAGATTGCTTACTCTCTCCTCCGAAGGAGCTACCATTGTTGGAACTAGTTGCAATTAAGTTAAAACATGTTTCAACTTCCAAGTGTTGCTGGTTGCCTATCTTTGGATTTTAAACAATTTTGGTTCAGCAATTTTGCAATCTCAGCAGGTTGCAACTTTGTCTTCCGATCAGATCGCCGAAAGTTGGCACTTATCGACCAAAAGTTGACTGATGCAACTAATACCAACATTGTTTCAACTTGTTGCAACTTTTACATTGAAAAATGCTACTTGGGAAACTGGAGGTTTCCTCTTGCGTTGCGCTGCATTTCGCGAGAGAGAAAAAGCATATCAATGGTGAAATTGGAAAAATGCATATCTCAGTTATGGGGTTTCGAAAACTCCGATCCTATATTTTTCATTTTTTTTTTTTTTTTTTTTTTTTTTTTTTTTTTTTTTTTTTTTTACAAGGAGACCTAACCAACATCATGGCATCATTGTGCAATGCGTAAAGTATCCCTGTTAGGTTTGTAGGCGCCGGTGCGCCGCCGCTCCGCTTTGTGTTCGGCTCTAATATTTAATCTCGCGGAGTCAGCGTTTTTCAACTCATGACTTTGAAATGTTTGCACACTCTGTATGGATTATTCTCATTCTAATTGATGAAAAAAATATGTAGTAAAGGAAAATATAATGTGCATTTTGTAAATATTAAGGTGATTTCGCATACAAACTTAAGGATTTATAAAGTACACTCGAATTTCTACACAATTTCTTATAGCCTTTTATAGCCAATGGCGAAAAAGCAACAGCCAGGCGATAAAGTGTAAAGCCCGGCGATAGGAACTATAGCCCGGCTGTATAATTTTTTATCGCTTCGTGTAGCCCGGCCGTATGATTTTTTCCACTTTCTGCAGCCAGCTATATGATTTTCTATCGCCCTCTTCAGTCGGCTATAAGAACTCCTATGGTATTTTGAAACGCAGCTCCTATCGCCAATTTTTACCGGGGTAAGAAAAATCTCCAAAGTTTCCACGTTCGGTAAAAGGATATTTCTCATATGGTTTGAATATATTCACGGTGATACCACTATTCGACCACTTGGGAGCTCAAATTGCCTACGCTGAAAATTGTAAGCGAACTGCTAATGCGTTAGTCACCTCTCCACGTTCGATAATATGGTATTTTTCGCATTTTCCGAATAGGTTCACGGTTCAACGCATGCAACTATTCGACCCTGTGGGTTTTAATGGACCCTTCCCTACACAAGCATAAAGGATGACCGTTTACATTGTCCTCAGTGTTCATTTTTTCACTAGTCCTTTTCCAAACATTTCTATTCAACAATTTTCCCCTTTTATGACAGATGTCTTAAATTAGTTCTTCAAGAATGCATTTTTCCAATCATATTTTGTGGGAGTCTGGACCAGCATGACGATCATATTACAAGGAGTGGATGGGTGTCAAAAATCGGAAAAATTGCGTTAGGTAATTTACGGAAAGCCCCAAAGGAGACTGAAAGTTTAGCGGGTAAACGTATCATAACCATACTTTTATTGGCTACAGAAATCGATAAAACTCCTTTGTGACGGAGAAACGCTCCAAAAATTCGAGAGTAAATTATAAAATAGAAAGATGTTCTTTCTTTTTTCTTTTCAAGCGAAGGAATATGAAGAGCGTATTTCCGTAAGCAGTAAAATGCGGTCTAGTGGAAAACCGCCTCGTCCTAAGTTCCCCGCCTCAAAACAAGAAATGAGAGATGCTGCTTTTTTGATTGGTCGTAGCCTTTCTTCATCACTGCAAATGGGTGAAGGCTTGAAGGTTTATACTGCGTTTTTCCTTAGCACGGCAGAAATTACGTGACGAACTTTTTTGGCATTTTAGCACGTAAAAATTAAATGTAATGACGTTCTTCTCGACCCTCCGGTTAGGTAATTTAGGGACGGTTCCTAATTAGGTATTCAATGTTTTTTTAAGGAAATAGGTAGAATGCGGTCAAAGACGAATATCTCACAAAAAATTAATCCCTCTGCTGACCTAACTTACACTGTACTTTCCTGTGGTCCTTGAGCCTGGGCGTTTCCCGACGATCATCATTTCTCCGCATTTTCACTTGATGTCTTTCTCATTACTCTCAGTTCATACTTACTTATTCTCGCGTCATGTCAATTTAACCTGTGCGCTGTCTCCACTGTGAACACTTTCCTTCAAAATCTACAACAGTGCTAGTGATTATAAAGATTCTTGTGTAGGGGAAAACAGAACTTCGCTTTTGATAGGGATGGCGTCGTGTGGGTATGTAAATTGTATTGAAAGTTTCACAAATATAATAATTATCTTATTCAGAAATACCTTGGCAGAGAATCTTACAACTATAAAATTAAGGGGTTGCTTGTTTTTATGTTTACGAGGGTAAAAATGTCTATAGGCTATACGGTTTAATTTTTATTAACATTCTAACATGTTTCATTTTGGACATTTGAAAAAATTTTCCACTGAAAAAATGAGCGTTTATCCAGCAAAAAGAATATTTGACCTTTTATTCTTTGCTCGTCTCCATGAAGTGATACATTCTAAAAATGTAAAATACGCACCAGCCATCACATGTTTTCAACGAATTCCGAGTGTTAGTACTTTTAGAGCCCACGTCTAGCGCCTTTAATTATTGATTCAATCAGAATTTCTATTGATCATGACAGGACCCACTTTCTAACCAATTAGAAGTCATAGTGACAATCGATAAGGTCAACATCCATCCATTGAAGATCATCCATACAAGTAAAACGACTCTGATGTTTTCCCATCTCCGCATCTAAGCATCAATTTTGCAAACTTTGATATCACATACAGGGTGATCCAAAAATTCTGCACCACTGGCACCAAATATAACTAAGTTACCGATTGATTACGGTGCGTATCTGGTCTGAATCATCGGGCATGTAATCGAGACTTCATTGTACTTCATCTTCTATTACACTTACTTTTCATTTTTATTGTTTCTATTTCTTTACCTTATGCTATTTTTTAATATTTACTACCTTTGTGCCTAAGAATCACGAATATACAGTAATGGAAGTGTTATTCTTATGTTGACAGAAATATGGTGGTGCAGGAGACAGAGGTGGTCTGTCGACCCAATACAGATCCATTTGATCTCAATTTAGAATGGCAGATGCGTGCGGAGAAAGAGCTGAACGAATGCCCAGAAACCGCCCGAAAGAATGTCGTTCAACTTAGGCAAAAATTAAAAGGTAAATCTTACAACATTGTACACAATTATCGACTCAAAGACCTTACCTTTCATACTATATGATTAGTTTGTTTTGACACCTCTTAATTCAGCAATAAAAGTGGACTGATTAACTTCACCAAAATGTCACGAGGATGCGCTCAATCATGTCCGAAATAATTAGCGATGTACTTTGCAGGAGGCGGCGCGGACTCAAAGGAACAGAAAGTTCCGAATACCATTCATTCTACAAATATACGAGTATTAATGGGAATCTGGATGTTCTTCATCCTCTTTTCATCATTGTTGATTCCAGCAAGTGCAAACTCGAGTTAAGATCGACACATCTGAAACATTATACCTACCAAATGCTGATGGAACTCCGGACAGGGTGCGAATTTAAGCATTAGCCTGTGTCACACTATCAAAATACTCCATCAAAATGTCAAGGTCAGGTGCTATAATTCGTCCAAGTCATCGAACAAGCCAATCACAACACCTGACCTTGATATTTTGGTGGCTAGTTTTGACAGTGTGACACAGGCTATTCTGTTACATGTACCCTCTTCAAAATTATGCGTAGAATATGATTTTCGTATAAAATATTTCGAGGTGATTCGTCAAGCTCAAGCGACGTGGTCGTACTGGCATGCGATATATCGCATTGGTTAGGTCAAAAATCTCGGTAGATTTTGGATTTTTAGCACAAAAAAAGAACGATAGCCCCTGCGCATGAGCCTATAGAGAATCATTCTAAACCCAAAACTCGGCGAAACTCAGAGAAATGAAAGCAGATTAGTGCAAGAAAAAAAACCTCACATTCGATTCAGCTATCGATTTCTGTGTCAAATGCGAGGTTTTTTTCCAAACACTATTCTGCTTTCATTTCTGGGAATTTTGTTGATTTCTGGGTTTAGAATGTTTCTTTAGGCTCATGCGCAGAGGCTATCGTCCTATTTTTGCTAAAAATTCAAAATCTGCCGAGATTTTTTACCTAATCGATGCGATATATCGCATGCCAGTTCGACCACATCACTTGAGCTTGACGAATCACCTGAAATTTTTTTTATAAAAAAATGTATCACAATTTGACTTACGGCGTCCCTCCTCACCCCCTCACGAAGTTTCTGTGATTTCGGTAACAAAAATTACTGAAATTATTTCCTAACTTAGATATTAATGTTCTTAATTTACATGGATCACGGGAATTTTAAATTCCCCGCTCACTTGTTAAACGAGATTCCAATTTGATCAAATTACGCACTGAAACGGTCTTGGCAGGCTCCATCAGAGTTCCTTTCCCACCCTGATGTGTTCTTCCAAGTGTAAACAACGTGCAACAGATGAGCCGCAGCGCCGATACTGAGGTTGTCATATTTCATGCCGAATGGGACTGTTACACTAACGTTTAATGCGCGATTTGACTCACGTAGGCTTTTATTTTTTCATGAGTGGGAGGTTTGAACTTACGTATCGGAGAACACTTAATATCTTAGTTTTCCCTAGTTTTAGTTCCCTTGGTTTTTTTTTAGTTTCAATTTCAGTAGTTTTTGTTCCGCACGAATCGTATTTTACGTACGTGGAATTTTGATAAACATGTTCCGGAATGCTTAAATTCTTAACTTGCATAGTGATCCAATTTAAATACTTTTTACTGAAAAAAAAAAATGAACCTCAAGCTGAATTTAATTTTTTCTTCTTCTTTTCTGCAGAGGATCTATCAATGAACTCCAGAGTAGACGATGTATTTTGCATGGCATTTCTACGAGCAAGAAAACATGACGTGGATAAAGCCTATAAATTAGTAAGTTTTCTTCTCAATATTATTTCGTTTAAGTACACTGCCTAAATTCAAGAGTTTTGTTATTGACACAACATTTTAATTTCACAAAACCTTTTGTTACGAGGTGGAACATCGCCATAAGCTCTCGTGAAATATTGACATGACTCACAAACGTAATTGTGATTTAATGAAATAGGGCTCTGTCAGATTAAGTGGACTTTAGGTCTGGAAGTCATATTTGCCCTATTGTGCGTTTGATAGGTAACGTTGTTGTCGAAATTTTAATCTTCACTCTTCACGGCAAATGGTACCTACTAAACTTTAGTCATTTGTGCTTGGATTCCAAAAATGACTCAAATCTGAATTTTTTTTAATTGAAAAAAATACAGAGAGAAATTTCGATTACCTAAGCCGAAAAACTCGGGACTTTTTTTTTAAAAAAAAATTCTCTCACTTCATTCATTGTGTGTTTATTGAGGTGATTCCTCGAGGTTTCTGCCGTTGTCAAACTGGTGTGCGAGATATTGCATGGATTATGTTACAAATCTTGGCAGATTTTGAATTTTTATCCAAAAGAAGGACAATAGCCGCTGCGCATGAACCCAAAGAATCAATTCAAACCAAAAAATTGGCAAAATCTAGTGACCTGATAGCAGAATCCTGATTGGATGAACCCTCTCATTCGATATAGAAATCAATAATTGTATTGAATGCGAGTTTTTTTCCAAACAGGATTCTGCCTTTATTTCACTAGGTTTTGCCAATTTTTGGCTTGGAATGATTTTTCGGGCTCATGCGAAGGCGAAGGGGATATCGTCCTTTTTTGGACAACATTCAAAATCTGCTGAGATTTTTTATATAATCTATGCAAATATCGCACATCAATTCGACCACGTCAGGGACCTTGAAGAATCACCTTGGGCCAAAACATAGACGCTTCCAAATCAAAATCAATCCAGAGCCCGTATCAGAGACAATTCAAGTCAAATATTTTTTTGAAAATGCACGTTTGTAAAACAAAGGAAAATGGCACACAGTTCCATTAAAAGTGCCAGTATTAAGGACCTACCAATTCGTCGCCTACCTGACATGAGGACGTAACTGCACTATGCAATGAACCCTGTCTTCCATACGTTTCAATGCTTTTCCGGGCTCATCTCAATGTATAGTTACGCCCTTATGTCAGCCAAGCGACGAATTGTGCAACGTGCAGCCCATGTTGAATGAGCCGCGTTTCATATGAGAGGAGTTAATAAAACGTGATACGAATGTAAGTTGGTGCTGTCAATGACACACATCACTGTGAGAGGATATTTGCCAAATAGATATCGATTTTTTTCTTCTCGCCCCCCCCCCTCCATTCTCTATTTGTGATTCTCTGCACGTGAGGAGCATGGGCACCGAACTCGGTATAAAAATTAGTTTCGACACCCGATTTCCTTAAGTTTTTTCATTGAGTTGCCCAAATGTTCGGCACGAGTCTTTTCGTCATGCTCTCTGGCACATTCACAAAATATGGTCTTGAACTCTTCATTCTTCATTATTGTCATACCTCACGTAACCGATTGCATTGAGCATCCCTTCAACATTTATAATGGTCATTATATTTAAAGGAGCCACTCAAAAATAAACATATTTTACTGGTTAGTGAAATTAATCACGGCGATCAGAATATTTTCGTTGGAAACCAGGAATTCATCTAATACTATTACTTAATTCACTTGCTCTTTAGTATTTTGACAGAAGATGAGTGATTAAAAGCATGAAAAACGTGAGGGCCGCATAAAATTGACGGAGAAACGATCAGGTCTACAATTATCTGTGGTAATTGATTAAAAAATCGAGCTACAAGCCAAAATAAACAAGTAATATTTCAAACTATATGTATACATATATGAGAAATAATATAAAACTTATAACAAGTATTTCTTAGCTATGTACATGTAGTTTTAAATATTACTAATTGTTTATTTTGGCTTGTGACTCGATTTTTTAATTAATTACTATGTTCTATACAGCTTAGCCAGCCAATTCAGCGATAAAATGTATGTATAATTAATTATGTAAACAATGGCAACGAGTGCGATCAAAGTTAAATTCTCATAAAACAGCTTTGAATAATAATGTATGCATAAGACAACTCCTCTCTCTCGCAGAAGAAAAGCCATTCTCGTCTATCTCATGTAGAAGTTTTTGATCTTTTCGCAATGCGCGTAATTACTGAGTGGAATGTTTACATGAAAATAGATGCCTAATTCCTTTTTCTGTCTGGCTTTTTCTTTACGCGTATCATAAATGAATACATGGAAAAGAAAGGAAACAAATTAAACTTCCAACATATAAGATGGAAAGGAAACCTTGCGTTTCTCAAAAATAACTCACTTAAAATTCGTAGGTTACATGTTGAGGACTAACAAAGAAAATAAAAAATCTGTAACTAAAAATATCACAAAGTATGAAACTTAACTTGGTTTCTCGTCGATTTTTTTCAGGTCCCCCCTCATTCTTCCCTCATTCACCCTCATTCTTTCGGGCTCCAAATTTAAATTAAGCCTTTAGAAGGACTAATCATTCTTCGAAAACGGATTTGATTTTTTTTTATTTTGTATTACATGATTAATAATTATATTTTACTTGAATTCATCATTATATTTCAACGAGTTTTTACCAAATACTTACATTTGAATACAATCAATTTGTGCACGTTTAGATTCTTGGTTGTATTAGCTGCATGATCAATCGTAAGATTTCAAGTAACATGCACATGATGCACGCATATTATTTGATGAAGAAACTCGCGTACAAAAAAAGTATCAATTGATTTTTTCATTAATTGTGACTGTACTATATATTTAATTTTATTTATATTTGTTTGTTCCAGATTAAAAGTTACTATGAAATGAAGAGAAAGTATCCAGATTTCTATCGATACTGTTATCCCTCGGAGAGATCTTATATATACGATATGTGTTTTCTCACTTTACTACCTGGCACAGACAAATTAGGCAGGGTAGTGACAGTCGTCTGTATCAGTAAGTTGTCAATTTTGCAGTACATACAGGGTGATCTCAAAGTTCCGCACCATCAGCGCTATGCATCACTCTTGTAACTTTTGGACAAATTGATTTATTGAGACCAGGGCCGGATTTAGGAGGTGACCACGGGGGGCCGCGGCTCATGGCGGCAAATTTAGGGGGCGGCAAATTTTGCACTTTTTCAAATGCAGGTATAAAAAAATTCAGAGTAAAAATTACAAACGAGAAAAGGCGACAAAATCTCTCGTTTCCTGAAGGTATAGTATTTTCTAATTTTGTCGTCTTTCGGTGATACAAGAGCCAGAACCTTTAATTAGTCGAGTTAAGAGAGAAACCAAACACGCAATTTGGCCTGGAACGGCGCGGCGCAGAGAGCAATGATGACGAAGACTTGAGATGAAAAGGAGAGGCCCTCTGCGTGGCGGTCGGCATGTAACACATAATAGCGCCTGCAAGACTGCACAAATACTTCAAGCATTGCGCCAAACACAGTGCGGTCATGCAGCGGTCGACGTGAACGGCATAGCGCCTACAAGACTGCATGAATACTTCACGCATTGCGTCAAACACAGTACGTTCAGCAGTTCAGCAGCGGTCGGCGAGAAACGCTTAGCGCCTACAAGACTGTAGGAATACTTCACGCATTGCGTTAAACACATCAGTGCGGTCAGCGCGGCGCGGCGGCGGAAGTTAAAATTATTAAACCACTTTCATGTTTGTTGTTTCATAATTGTTTCGTTCATTTCTTATAAATGGAAGGCCTTGTTCCCACAGAGGTAGGTTTACGGAACTTAACTTTCGCGCAAAGTTCCGTGAACTATTGCTGGTAGTGTTGACAAGGCTCTCGCAAAAAAATGTGTCCAACACGATTAAACGCGTTAAGACGCGTGGGGGGGGGGGGGCCCCNGGGGGGCACCCCTCCCGCTCCGGCACGTTCACTTGATGGTTTTTATTGATGTTCCAAAACGAATGAGAAGAGGGCGACAAAACACAGGCAGCCCATGAGCGGCAAGTAGGTAAATCCGGCCGTGATTGCGACTAGATATTTTGTGAGTAATTCTAGATCAAACGAAGCGACGCATAGCAGCGACAGCCCCCACAATTTTAAAGAGACCACCCTAAAAAGGAGCAAGAATGCTGGGGTTGTAAGGATGGTGTGAAACTCTTGGATCACTCTGTATACAATTTTCCAAGACCTTTGTTGAGACAATGTCGCAAGATGTGTCGAAATGTTTTCCATTCTGGGTCTGAATCGTATAACAGTCAGTGATTGAATTCACTCCAGCCATGATATATTTCCTACAAAATTATTTAGGATACACAAAAAATATACACGATATAAAGTAATTCTTAGCAAGACATTTATTTTCTTTTTACTTGCTTTTTTCACTTACATAATCTCATATTTTTACTCAGGAAACACAGATTTTTCTCAAATTAGTCTAGAAGATATGTTTCAAGTCGGGACGAGTTCATTTGAAGTGGCTTTGATGGACCCTAAGCTTCAAATTGCCGGCGGAGTTGCCATTATAGACATGCAAGGAATGAGCATCTATCAACAAGCAAAATTAATCACGCCCTCTGCTGCATGGCAGATAACAAATTGTGTGCAGGTACTTACGATCATATTCTAAAAATCACTTCACTAATGTTTCTTTCCGTCCCTCTTTTGGGAGCTTGTCCCCCGAGGCGGGAACACTTGAAAAGCGATTCCTAAGTTTGTGGCCTTTTATTACCATTAGATCCCCATAAGCGGTCTATCTGTCCTTCCCCCCCCCCCCNGTCACCAAAAAAACTCTGGCCTCGCCTATGCATCTGGACTCATATTTGGACCGCGTTTAGCAAAAAGGAAGCATGCCAAATCAGCTTTTGCCACAATTTTTCACAGGAGAACGCTTGTGCCGATTATTTTGGCAATTTCGAGGAAACTGCTTTGTACCGTGCAGAAAATGTCTAAAATTTGCACAAAAATCGGATCATCCGTTTTCATGTGAAAATTAAACCGACCAATTAAATTTGGCAATTGCTGACGTAGCTTGGTTACTTTCTGCTTAACGCGGTGCATTTAGTCCGCAATGATTGTTTTGTAGAGACTGGTAATAACATAACTACACACGCGCAACGCGCCTCTAATCTACAATTTGGAGTTGTCTTGAAATGAGGTCGTGTAATCACATTTTTATCACCATCTTTTTAAAGAAGAAAGAACTTGCTTTCTTTCTGCATGAATGGGGGGAAGTGCTTTCCAGATCAACTTCATATGTTGATCATAGAAACCTGTCTAATCATGCAAGTAAGTTACGGGGTCAACAGAATCCGTCAATTCTGATAGGGAATACCATTATCTCGTCTGCGACGAAGTCTGCTGTGCTATAAGGAAGAACGTCTCATGAGCCTTCAGACATTGCCAAGTTTCCTTCGATAAGAACCGATTTTACTGGTCAGATTGAGAATATTTTTTTCCAAGATTTCCGGACAATTTTGTACGCGATTCAATCTACAAATAATATCTGAAAATTTCAAGGAAGAATATTCACAAATGTCGTTTAAAATGCATTTTTATGAAGAAAAATTTGGCAGCTCTCAAATGTTCATACGGCGTTCTTCCTTAGCATTGCAGAAGTGATGTTCTCGGTCTTGCGAACTTCTTTGAAGTCATTAACCAAGTCAGTTGTGAGTAAGTTCATGATAGCACAATTAACAAGGGTCAATAATTACGCAATAGCACGTCAACGTTTCGGAAGCGTCAATTCGTCGCTTCTCTGGCGTAAGAGCTTATCTCGATTACCGCATGAGCCCCAGAAAGCATACATCTATACGTAAAAAAGGGCTCACGGGGAATCTAGATACGCCCTAACGTCAGAGAGGCAACCAATTGGGAAAATGGATAAAGAATTGATCTGTTAACTTCTAATACAAGATGTCTCAGGGTTAAAAACGGCCAGTGGCCCGATTGTTGAATCTATGTCGATACGACAAAAACATCGAAATGCGATACGTTGCGTCCATAGAGTACATAGAGTCGTAATGTAATTGGGAGAGCTGGCGCCACTTTTAAGCATTTTCCATGTCCCGAATTCCGAGACTCCTGTGTGACGCCGGGTTACTTTTTCGATACATAATCGATTGTTTGCGATACACGGGTATCCGGCCATCCGATGACGACAACAACAACAACAACAGAGGAGATAGGAATTACCACGTATTCCACGCCACCATTTTGGATCGAAAATGTATCGAAAGAGCGACCCGAACTCGGCGCACACCGGGCTCGGAATTCGTCGAGCAGAACATGGCGCCAGCTCTCCCATTTACATTACGACTCTACGTACTCTATGGTTGCGTCAGTACGGAGCGTTGTCTTGTCTTGTCGGATCGATGTAGAGTCAATAATCGGGCTTAAGACCACAAGAACTTGCAACCAATCTCACCCCAGGCAGGGAAAAATCGTCACTAACGCGATCACTAACGGCAGTGACAAAATATTGATATGGTCAGAATCTTCAATCAAAACCATACTGGCAGATTACGTAATGAGCTACCTTACGGAACCGTGGTTTAGATGTGAAAATGAACATGATTGTTTTCAGTGAAACTAAAACCGCATTTCGAGCAATGGAGAATTTGCATGCAAATGTTTTATTGATTCATCTAAAAGTGCTTAAAGAGCTGATTTCACGGTATTCTTTATACTTTTTTCTGATATGGGGAATAGTATAAAAATAGGTTTAAAATTGAGAAAATTCACCTCCTGGTGAAGTCGTCTGGCGACATTTCCTATTAAACACATGTATTTTAGCATTTTGTCATATCTTCTCCAACAAGTGTTCAATTCATGAACCAAGCTTATCCTCGTGTTCAGTTCACTCGGTAGTTTCCACTTAAACACGAAATTCATCAAATTTCAGACACCTGCAAATTCTCTATTGAAAGGATGTTTGAAAATTGTCTCCGAAAATTTTAAATCAAATGATAGCTAAACTTGTTCCCAATCATTTCTTGATACAATTTTCAAATTGATGATCGAACTGCAGAACCATGTATCTCCGGTTGCGACAATGCAGACCTCTTTCCTTTCGTAATTTATTTTTTCTTTAAAAAACTAGTCGAAGTAATTTTCATAAAAATCAGTGATTTTTCTTCTCTTTCAGAAAAACATTCTGTAAAAATTTCTGACTGTAAAATTGACTCGTTCCTTTTCAACAAAATAAAATAGGTGCAAAAAATTTGGAACTGCGAAATAGAGATACCAGCTTTTGTACTTCGGTCATCGACTTGAACTTGATCATCTAAAACCGTGGATGGAAAAAACCATCAGAAAACTAATTATTCTTTTATTTTTTATTTTTTCAGGAAAAAATCCCCCTCAGAGTGAAAGCCATTCACATAGTTCACCAGCCCCTGTACTTTAGCGCACTGTATTCTATTTTTAAACCGTTTTTGAAAAGCAAACTGAGGAAGCGGGTAAGTGCAGTGTACATAAAATGGACTATATATTTTGCAGTTACGAACAACCTTATTTGGCTCAGTTTAGTAACAACTTATACACTATTAGTTTCCCATAGCTTCTAAATGTTTTTACGAATGAGCCAGAAATTGTAGTTCCTAATTGCAAACTATCGTCCAGAAACCATGTATTCATTAATATCATTTAATTTTTTCAGTGAAAAATTTGCCGAGTACGAATAGTAGGTTAGGTACGAGTTCACACGAAAGTCGCTTCAATCAGACGGCTCTAATCGCAATCAACCTAAATTCATCCCACGTTGATAAATTTTCTCGTGTTTTTTTTTTCTCAAATTTTCTTTGACAGAGAACTAAACCACTGGATGTTTTCATACTTTCTAAGAATTTACTTCAAATTTTGAAGAATATCCTTACAAAATTCCAAGTTTCCCTATTGCTCAGTTTTCCACATAGAAAGTAAAACATTAGAGGGAATCAGGCAACGTCTGATGTAGTACAGTTCATTTCCCTCAAATATCCGTCAAATGTTCAGCATTATTATGAAAGTATAAAAAGATGTTGAAAAAATAAATATTTTCATTCATGTTGTTTTCCGAGAAAAAATGTCGCTCTAAAGATACGGATACACGTATAATTTACCCATCCCTCTACTCGCGAGTACTGCATTTGCGTAAAACGTAAGCCTAATTGCCGATAAGATATTGTTCGACAGTATAATTTTAGACTAATTGATGAGAAATCACTAAAACTGTGTGAATCTCCGATGCATGGGTGATAGTCCATGATATGCCCAAATGAATTATCCCGTGATATTATTCTTGCTTACATGCACAATTACACACGCACTATCTTTGTCATGTTTTTCAGGAAACTGGTTTCTTTAGAGCAGAAGTTAAGACAATAATTTTGTATCATCAGTGGTGCCACCGCATGACGCTCATAATGACCCAGTAATGCTGTAACTGCAACCTAGTTAGTTTAACCGTGTTTCTAATCAGTTTCTAATAGATTCTCGTGCCGCATCTAATAATTTAAAATAGAGCTCCTTCACGCGTAAACGAGTTAAACCGGTATTATATTTAGATACTATCTTTTTTAGAGAGGGAGGTTGTTTCCATCTGCGGAGCAACAGGCAAACGGTGGTATTATTTTTAACTTAGGGACTGATCTGAAAACGTGCGAAACGATGAATTCCTTTGTCGATTAAGTCAATTATTTGTGCTCTCAAATTTACTAATGCTCTCTGAAAATTTTACCTACTATAATATTTTTTTAGAAAATCGCTGATATAATATCTGAAAGTTTTTATAAAATTTATACTTAAACACGCGAGTTAAGTTGACTGATCGCGTGCTCACTGATGATCACCGTTCTTCCGGAGGCACAGATCGAGGAGGTTTGAATTTTCGCCCCCGATATTGGAGTTCGGTGTTTATACATGCATGCTAAGAAATTGTATTCCTGCAAAATCTATGAAGAAGTCACTTTTTAAAACGGTGATTCCTCCTATTTAATGGATGAGTGCGTAAGACGGTGCGCGTATGAGAGAAGATTTTTCAAACAGATTATACTCTCTTTTACTTGGCAACAGTCCGTGAAAGGTTAAAAAATTCAATTGATTTTGTAGCTCAATCAAATTTGCCTGGCCTTTTCTGGCGTAACCAAATCAAATATTGGTTTCAATGCAGACAAGTTTCTTCGTCAACAGCATCTTCGATTGAACCGCGTTAAGCAGAAAGGAGCCAAGCCACATCCGCAAATGCCTTTAATTGGGCAATGAAGAAAATTATGAGGGCATAATGATTTAATTCTTACATGAAAACGCCCGTGCGGATTTTTGTGCTATTATCAGTGAATTTTCTACGTAATGCGAAGCAAAGCCCCTAAAATTTTCAAAGGAATCCGAACAAACGTTCTCTTGTAAAAAATTATGAATTGCCCAGTTAAATTTGGCAATAGCTGATGAAGCTCAGTTCCTTTCTGCTAAACGCTGTCCAATTTTGTCCAAACGCATGTTCCTTGCAATGGCTAGGCGTGAATGATCGATTATCGATATCTTCCCGTTTGAAGCTGCGGTAAAGAATCGATAATTGGACGTATTTCTATCAAACGGAACTATGTGCATTAAGACTTGAGCCCTGAGACCCATAAGAATACGTGCAAATCAGGGCTCACGTCATTATGCACATAGTTCCGTTTGATAGAAATACGTCCAATTAAGGTTTTCGTTGAGAACACCCTGACTATCGACCCATTCCGCAGGTTTAAATGGCAGGTCAATCGATATATCGCAAAGCAAGCCACGCCACTGATCCCTCGTTGGGACGGAGCGAAAGTGACAAAGCAAAGCTACTGCGAGCAACTATTCGAGCCCCCAAGCCGCTCAAATTGCCATGGCTGTTATTGAAGGCGAACTTGACAGAATGAGAGACATGGTGAGGCGACCGATCAGAGTTTGTTCATTAGCTTTTACGGCTATTCGTCTTTTCGTTGGCTGAATATTATTACTCAGAGTACTTAAAAAATTAACCGAATGGAATGTTCGCTAATGCACGAGTTAAACCCTAGAATTCCTTAAATGTTTAACCTCTACTTCATCTGATTACAGATCCATCTGCACGGATCGAACATGGAGTCTCTTCACAAGCACATTTCGCCGTCCGTCTTACCGAAAGAGTATGGTGGCACCAAAGGACCCTTGAATAGCAAGCCCCATCTAAATTTAATCAAACAATACGAACACAAGCTCCGAGGTGGGTACATTGACAGAATCTCAAAAAGTTGCGAGGCGTGAGTGATCGATTATCGATATTGCCCTATTCTAAACTGTGGTGAAGAATCGATTATTATGGTGTCCGTTGCAAACACCCTGTCTATCGATCCTTTTTTATGGGTTCGAATGACAGATCAATCGAGTTATCGCAATGCACGCCACGCCGCTGCACTCAACAATAGTCGGGGGAAAGGCTCACGAGGAATCATAGTTGCCATTTCTATATTGAACGTATCTTACCTGGGCTCTCACTTTGTTTTGGGATGGGAAAGTCCGTATAAATGACTAAACTGAGAAAATGTGACACTATTACTGAGTTTCAAAATTTACATTCATGTTTGTCTTTTATAGGTAAATAATGTTTATAGGTTTTATAAAACCATCTAGTATAAGTTAAAAAAAGTTTTAAGAATGTTTTGCCTTTAGAAAAGTAAAAGGCGAGATAAAATGTGCAACGTAACGGAGTTAGATGCATGTTCTCTGCTTTAAGATATCGATATACGTTTAAACATGTTCGTTGTGGTGTTTCATGCACTACTTTTTATAGTTTTTACGTTTTATTTGCAGTTTGGTTTTATTTAAAACGGCTATTGGTTTTGAAAATATTTGAATCAATGAGAACGAAAACAAACCAATTTGGTAACTAAAAAATGATCAATTTCCATTACAGACGGTTAATTCACATGAAGTTAGCACATCTGTTTCAACTTGGAGCTTTAAAGTGTCCATAAGTACTTGCCTTTCGGTAGAAAAAACATTTTTCTTAAACTAACTTCTTCACCTACTGTGCAGTTTTGTGTGTGTGTCTCGATTATTTTCATTTTTCTGAGCTGATGAGTTTTCGTTCTCACTTAATTATTCATTTATGGTTGAATTTATTTAATTCAGTACGTAGTAGGTAATCATTGCCATTGGCTGAAAAAATAATTTTGACGTTATTTGCCGTAAGGATACGGCAAGTTATGACTCGTAAAATATGATATTTTTTGTTCTTTCTGTTCCAGATTGGAGTCAGTTTGGTTACGATAAGAAAATTCCTCAATGAGGTGGTTTCAAGCTATTGTTTGCCTTCATTCTGTCTCTATATCAAACATGAGTCTTCGTTGCCCCTTTAAGTGTCCTTATTCCTGCTGATCAAGCGTCCTTTTATCGAATTTTTTAAATATAACGTATTTTTATCTTTTATTTAATTATTGAAAGTTTAATAATGTATTTTCATATTTCATCAAATGATTGAAAGTTTTAAATTTGTTCGTTGTTTTTATTTTTTTACAGCAATTATTACTGTGAATAATACATCATATACGCTTCGTTTTGACAATTAAATTGTTCTCTCTGTACATAAAAAACGGTCTCTTTGATTTCTAACTATCATTCAATTTTACTTGTCAATTATATAAATGCATACATATTTTGACGATGAAACTCCTAGACGAAGTACAACGTATCTCGTTTGTGGCGTCCAAAAGACTCCGCTCCGGTTCTATTTTTTCGAAAGGAGAACGAATCAACATCATTGTTTGAAGTTATTGTAGTACTTAATTCGCATAGAAAAGAGAAATCACGGAAGTTTTATAAGATTGACGTTGAGTAAATTTGTATTTAAAAAATAAATAATGGCAGGAAGTCTGCAACGTAGCAAATCGAGATACTTGATTTCGATGTTTCACCCTCGATTTGTCGTTTCATGACGCTTCCACATGCTCTTATCGCCAATTATTCTCACCTAAATCATAACCAGTAGCGAGGCGTGAATGACCAAGTATCGATATTTCCCCCATTTGAAGCTATGGTAAATTATTAAGGTGTTAGTTGCGAACACCCTGTTTATCGATCCTTTTCCATTGGTTTAAATGACAGATAAATCGATATAATCGCATAGCACGCAACGCCACTGATCATAGCCTCTCGGAAATCTTTGCGCTTGAGCATTTTGGATTCGATACCACCTCTCCACTCTCTCATTGGGCATCCCCTACACTTCCTTCTAGGGCGTAACACATCTATGGCGTTTTTTGGTAACCTGTCATCTGCCCTCTTCAGTACATGCTCATACCATGGGAATGGAGATGTTGCATGTGTGAGGAATTTGCGATTTGACTGTTGATTCCTGTAAAAGTTCGCGAGAAACACGATGGTGCCACTGGTTTTCTCTGAAATCAACTCCCAAGCTCAAAAAAGCTCTCAAGTTGAGGCCAAAATGGAGGAGATATCCGATGCTATCCTGAGAGTCCACCTCTACATCAAGACAAACTCTCCATGCAAAGATAGGGAGTAAATACATTAGCAGGGCTGCCACTTTATTTGGGGACTCTAAAACTGAAAACACGGCAACCCTGCTAATGTATTTGCTCCCTTTCTTTGCATGGAGAGTTTGTTTTGATGTAGAGGTGGACTCTCAGGATAGCGTGGGATATCCCTTCCATTTTGGCCTCAACTTGAGAGCTTTTTTCAAGCTTGGGAGTTGATTTCAGAGAAAACCAGTGGCACCATCGTGTTTCTTGCTAACTTTACTTATGAATCAATAGTCAAATTGTAAATTCCTCACACATGCACAAGGCCGGATTTACCTACTTGCCGCCCATGGGCCGCCTATATTTTGCCGCTACCTTCTCATTCGTTTTGAAACATCAATAAATACCATCAAATGAACGTGCCAGCGGGGGAGAGGTGCATAAGACGCGTTTACTCGTGTTGGTCACATTTCTTTTGAAAGCCCTGTCAACACTACTAGCAAAAGTTCACGGAACTTCGCGCAAAAGTTATGTTTCGGAAACCTATCTCTGAATGGACAAGGCCCACCATTTATAAGAAATGAACGAAAAAATTATGGAAGGACAAACATAAATGTGGATTAGTGATTTTAACTTCCGCCGCCGCCGCGCCGCGCAGACCGCACCGTGTTTGGCGCAATGCGTGAAGTATTCCAACAGTCTTGTAGGCGCTATCCGTTTCACGCTGACCGTAATAACCGTACTGTATTTGATGCAATGCGTAAAGTATTCGTGCAGTCTTGTAGGCGCTAATATGTGTTACATGCCGATCGCCGTGCCGAGGGCTTCTCCTTTTCATCTCAAGTCCTCGTCATCATTTCTCTCTAAGTCGCGTCGTTCCAGGCCAAGTTTGGTTTCTCTCTTAACTCGACTAATGAAAGGTATTGTCTCTTGTATCACTGAAAGACGATAAAATTAGAAATTACTGTACTCTCAGGAAAAGAGAGATTCTGTCGCCTTCTCTCGTTTGTAATTTTTTTTTTCTAAATTCGATTTTTTTATATACCTACATTTAAAAAAATTGCAAAATTTGCCGCCCCGTATAGATTTTCCGCCATGGGCCGTGGCCCATGTGGCCACCCCCTTAATCCGGCCCTGCACATGCAACATCTCCATTATAAAGTGCCAGTGACGAAGCCGCCGACGGGCAAATCCGGCGGCGTCTTTATATCATGATTCATGAGCCCTGGCCACAACGCTCAAGGCGCATGCCTACGGCCGGTGAGTCCCGCATATACTTGGCACATGGTTCTGTTTGCTCAATTGAAAAAGCGAGATTTTACATTTGTAGAACTGAACTGTATGCGGGAATTATGAGCCGTGGGCATGTGTCTAGATCGTTGTGCACAGGGCTCATGAGTTAAAGACGCTGACGAGTGACACCGACGGCGGTTTCGTCACTGGTGCTTTATAATTCCGATTGCCTTTTAAAGACTTCTCAGACAAAAAAAAAAAAAAAAAAAAAAAAAAAAAAAAAAAATTATTTCCAGACGTGATACATACTTCCATAAGAGATTGCAAATATTACTGGATGTTTAATGGTTATGAATACTTGTCACACAAGCTTGCTGTTATCTTGTCTTTCAGTAGCTAATAATGATATAATCTTGTACATTAAACGCTCTCTGCGGATAGTGATCACTTTTCAAATCACTTAATAAATGAAATTTCTAGTCATGTGTAACTGCTATTGCATCTTTAAAATTTGAAGGAAATTTATCTGAAAAATCTCGGGCTCTTTAAAAAGAAAAGTAACACGTTTCGAATGGTGCGAAGCTTCACACTTTCTTGAAATTGCAGTGAATTTCAATGAATCCTTAAAGACATAGCTCCTTTATTGAAGAACAGAAACCATGCACCCCGGGTCTCGCCCCCGGCTTTTGCTCCTTAGGGTTCAGGGGGCTCAACCCCGTCTTCGGCTCCTTAGGGTTCAGGGGGCTCGCCCCCCCTTCCGCTCCTTAGGGTTCAGGGGGCTCGCCCCCTGCTTTGGCTCCTTAGGGTTCAGGGGGCTCGCCCCCGTCTTCGGCTCATTAAGGCTCAGGGGGCTCGCCCCCGGCTTCGGCTCCTTAGGGTTCAGGGGGCTCGCCCCCGGCTTAGGTATCGAATTATTACTAAATTGGAGAAACATAACCAATAAATCACCAACCAATCGCAATAATGAAACCATAAAAATGGCGGTCGTTAAGGGGACAGGAAAGAGCCAATCACAGGCCGGATTTTCAACTTGTCCATACCTGCGTTAATCTACCTTGGTTATCGATGGTGAAAAGGCAGAAAAGCAATTCTCGGAAAACACGATCTTCCAGGAGAGCAAAGAAACCGTCTGACTTCCTCTTTAGAGGTTACCCTTCGGTAGAAGAGTAATAATTCTTGAGGATAGAAAGAATAAGATGTTTCTTTAAACTCGATCAGCGGTTTTAATACTTTCTCGAACAGTTAGAAAATACGGCTGAAATGCCGAGATTGGTGTTTTTGGAAATCAGAATAGACACTTTATCAGGAAAAACGCATTTTAGAAATTGATGTTTTTAAACTTGTAGGTGGATTTGGATCATTTAAAGACTAAAAAAAAGGATTTCAAACTTAAAATTAATTATCAGATAAGATTTAGTTGGACATTGATGCTCCATCCATCCATGCTTTACGCTTGCCTAATGGACCAGTGGACACAGTAAATTTTCTTTAAATTCGATTATTCATAGTTAATCAACGAAAGCTCATTTTATCCGTGCGAAACTTTTTAAATTCAAAACCGCTTTTGAGTAAGTTGCGATCTTGTAAACGGCGACTTTTTCAGTTTCGCTTCAGAATACGATGACCGAACCAAGGGACCTTAAAATACACAATCTGATCCAGCCGCCTCCAGACGCTCTCTTCTTTGAAATGAGACGGAGAGACAAAAACAATCTTATTATTTTTTCAAATTATTATTCCTCGGCAATTTTCGAATGTGAGGCTCGATTTAAAACCCAAAATTAT